CATGGACGACATCTTGATCTTTTCAAAAACTCTCGAAGAACACCAGGACAGAACCCGTCGTGTTCTCAAATCATTCGAAGAGAAACTCTTTTCCTGAAACCAGAAAAGTGCACTTTCGACGCTCAAGAGGTGGACTATTTAGGGATGATTATCAGACCAGGACAAATTGCGATGGACCCTGCCAAACTTTCGGGTATTAGCGATTGGCAAATTCCATCCTCAGTAAAGGAAGTCCGATCATTCCTCGGATTCTGTAACTTCTATCGTCATTTCATATCCCACTACTCCGACCTCGCACGACCCTTGATCGATCTAACAAAGAAAGATGCGATTTTCATGTGGTCAGAAGCCTGTGAAGATTCCTTCCAGAAACTGAAGAAATGTTTCCTTTCTGAACCTGTTCTCCGAAACCCCGACCCTTCGCGACAATTCGCTCTTGCCACCGATGCCTCCCTTGTTGCTACAGGAGCCGTTCTTTTGCAAACAGACGAGAATGGTGCTTATCGTCCTTGCGGATATCTATCCCAATCCTTTAACCCAGCAGAACGAAACTATCAGATCTATGATCGGGAACTCCTCGCAATCATCCGAGCCCTGAAAGCTTGGCGCCACTATCTTGAAGGGAACCCACACCCTGTAGTAGTTTTCACCGATCACAAGAATCTTCTCTATTTTCGATCAGCACAGAACCTGACGCGTCGGCAGGCACGATGGCAGCTGACCCTCAATGAATTCGATCTAGAACTACATCATGTTGCAGGAAGCAAACTCGCCGCCCCTGATGCTCTCTCACGACAACCGGATCATTCTGCAGGCCAAACTGATAACACCAATATCACCCTCCTCCCTGATGAATTATTTGGACGACTCATTGATATCGACCTTGCCGCAGCACTGAAACTCCAGAACCCCCTCTCGGATCCCATTATCTTAGCAGCACAACAGGCCCTAGACGGGCTCAATGCCCCTCCTATGAAATCAGCACTGTCTGATTGGCGTATCGAAGACAACACGCTTTTCTATAAGAACCGAGCCTACGTCCCCGCAAATCTCCGTCATCGCATCTTAAATCTTCACCATGACCATCCCACTGCCGGACACCCCGGACGCTTTAAAACTGAAGAACTAATTAAGCGAGATTATTGGTGGCCCGGGATGGGAACGTACATCCGGAAATACGTCGAAGGATGCACAATGTGTCAACAAATGAAGTCCAATACGCACCCCACGACTCCCCCTCTGAACCCTATTTCCTCCTCCACTTTACGCCCCTTCGCCCAAGTCTCAGTAGATTTGATCACCGATCTCCCACCATCGGAAGGTTTTGACTCTGTCATGGTCGTGGTAGACCATGGGCTTACGAAGGGGGTAATTCTTTCACCTTGCAAGAAAACCATCACTTCGGAAGGAGTAGCCAAACTCTTTTTCAAGAAAGTGTTCCTCAGATTTGGTCTATATGACAAGATCATCTCCGACAGAGGTCCCCAATTCGCATCAAAATTCGCAAAAGAACTTGGAAGACTCCTTGAATATGAAGTTGCCCTTTCGACCGCCTACCACCCGCAGACTGATGGACAAACTGAACGATTAAACCAAGAACTCGAAACCTATCTCCGCATTTATTGCCGGTCAAACCCCCAAGATTGGGTAAAACATCTTCCTATGGCAGAATTCGTCCATAATCACCGAAAACACGACTCCCGAAACACCTCTCCATTCTTCCTCATGATGGGCTATGAGCCTCGAGGAATTCCTTACGCTTTCCCCGATTCCGCTATCCCTGCCGCAGAAGACCGAGTAAAACACCTCCAGAAGATTCGAGAAGAAGCCCTTGCCTGCCATAAACTAGCAATGCAACGTATGGCCGAACGATCATTTGGAAGAAAGTTTGAACCCTGGAAACCTAAAGACAAAGTTTGGTTATCTGCTGCGCATCTTATCACCCATCTCCCATCAAAGAAGCTCGCGCCAAAGCGATACGGCCCCTTCGAAATTGAAAAAGTTCTCTCCCCTATCACATTCAAACTCCGCCTCCCAGAATCTTGGAAATCTCACCCCGTGTTTCATGCTTCTGAACTATCATCCTATCGGGAAACTGAAATTCACGGCCCGAACCACCCTGAACCACCACCTGATCTTATCAACGGACAAGAAGAATACGAGATAGAAGCGATCCTCGCCCACAAGGGAAACGTAAAAGGAAGACGCCGTTTCCTCGTGTCATGGAAGGGTTACCCTAGTTCAGAAAACTCATGGCTGCCCGAAAAGGAACTTCAGAACGCCCTAGAAATCCTGAAAACCTATAAAAACCGCCTCAAATTAGCCCGACTTCTCCATTGAACACTCGTCTCCAGAACCGATTCTAGCAGAACAAACCATGTCTTCGTCCTTCCAACTCGCTGAATACTTCGACCTCGTTAACGAGATTGACGCTGCCTCCCTCGTAGAATCCGCCCTGTTATCCCCACAACATGCTCTTGAAATAGAACGCATCCTCACTGAAAGAGAGGATGACACCACCTTTACCACCGTCAATATCATCCGCACCACTAGTCTCTTGGAAACCATCGCTGAAAATGTAGGCAATGCCGACACTCAGCGCAGCATCCTCTATTGTCAAAGAAAAATACGGACCTTTGCTCTCCATCTCCTTCCCTTGTATTTCAAGGAGGATGTAACGCAAGCCATACAAACCATCGCAGAACGAGTCACAACCGAGGTCGCCATTCCTCCCCCACCTCCTCCTACTGCTATCCCCGTCACCCCTGAACCGACAATCACACTACCCATCCTTCCACCGCAGAACGCGCTCAGGCGTTCAGAACGTCGTAAAAGCTCCGCAAAGAAAACACCTTACAAACCCAAATCACGCTCCCCTCCAAAGAACAAAGACCGCTGCTCGCAGCCAGATATCGTAACCCCTCCAAAGTCATCCAGATCGCTACCACCCCCTCTTTCCTTCGATGACAACATCATTTGCCGCCACTGCAAAGAAATGGGACATCGTCACAAGAACTGCCCAGAATATTACTGCAGAGCGTGCCTCGTGTTCAAGCCTGGACACCTATCGGCCTTCTGCCGCCAACTCAACGGCGAAAGAGTCCTCCCCATGGAGCACAACGAAGACGGCTTCTATGACGCTCTTGCTAAATGGGAAGCGGACCAAGACGAACTTATCGAGCGAATTGAGCGAGAAGCAGAGGAGCTCGCCAACAAACGCACGGGGGACGATCTGTTGGAGTTTCATAACGCTGACGCGGATCTCGTCTACTACGACGATGCAAGGTTGGAAAGTTGCTGAAGTCGGTGACTTCAGACGATAAACAGGGGGTAATGTTACAGCGGCCCCATCATTTTCTCATCATCATGCTTCTCCGATCTATTCCTGTTATCTCTGACTGCTTATCAACATGCACTGCATGAACATTCTAGATACTTCCGTCTATTCTTGTTATCTTTGGCTGCTTATCAACATGCACTGCATGAACATTCCAGATAGTTCTATGATGATCTTCTTGACTCCTTTCACTTCCATAGTCGGCCTGGTCCGTGCCTCCTTTGCCCATTATAAATACCGCAGTAGTCACGCTTGTATTCTCTAACTTGAATCTACTTGGTTCTCTCTGATACTTGATTATCTTCTGAGGAAGATACTTGATTCCGATCTAGCTCTTATAGAGACTAGCCTATACTCGAACTTCACTTAGAGGGAGAGCCCCTCAAGTGTCTGAACTGAACGTCGTAACACGAAGAACTCCTTTATTGGATTAGTTACGCAAGAACTATCCAAGTCGTAACAATCAGTACACTCTGTCTTGCAATGGTTTAGATTGGAAACTTGCTTTTTCGTTATTCACAGCAAGTTTGCCCACAAAGGCATAAACTTGCATTGAGGCAACAGAACAAGGTTTCTTGCTGTCAATGGCTTGCATCATGTTACATGGGCCAGTGCACTTCAGGGATCAGTACTTCTCACTTTGCAAAAACACTGCACTAATCTGTTTTTACAGCTGCAGGGCTAACTGTCTTGAACATAGTGGGTGCAAGTGTTCAATGGAATATTTCCATATTGACGGATCTTGCAATTTGGTTGATTATAAAAGGTGACCTGCAGATTTTTTTTCCCCCTCTCTAATTTTCACCATTCCATAGGTGCCTTCAGAGCCTGCTATGAGCTTGCCATCTCAACCCCTTAATAACATTCCCCATGAGAATGACCAAGCACAACTTCCAAGCACTTTCCCATCTGATGGCTGGCTCCCAGACTCCAACTCATCCGCCTGTAGGGAGAAGTCCTCTCAATCCTAGAGCAGCTACAATAGAAATAAAACATAACATTAGTCATCATACCATAGCTGAAATTTTGGAGGACAACTCCCCACAAAGCAACTGGCAAAACTTATTGTGGTGCAATAGTTAGGTTTTGTTTGTCCTGCCCACAAAAATTCAATCCACCACCTATCTCAAGTATGTGTCAGTGTTACATTTCTAGAACATCACACAAGGAATGAGTCGACTTTTAGTAAGACTTAGGACTCAGACAGGGAAAGCTGGCCGAACTAAGATGGTGATTTGGGGTTGTAAAGGATCAACTACAGAACTTAGACGAAGGGACTCGATTAAGTACTATAGGGAAAATCAGAGAGAAAAGGAAAGAGAAAATTTATGACAGGAGTAGATATAGATTGCTGTAACAAATATCCAAATGTGGATACTCGGGGAGCTTTTATTTTACTAGTGTAACAGTCAGCTTGTGTCCTGCCCTCCTGCCCCACCACTTCCATATATTCAAAATAAGTACTACGTACATACACACTTACCAAATGTGTAATGAAGCAGGCTGCGTTATAGTTAATAGTGTATCCATAATATGAGACAATGACAATACTCCCTGTACTCTCCTTACACAATGTCCGACATTTTTCCAGCTAGTGCTGTGGACACCATCCTTCAAACTTATACTTGCAAATGAAGTATCACTCTAGGATCCTGTGAAAACAGTGTTGTCAACACCACAGCCAAACTATCAGCCAATAAAGGACTCACTTCAGCAGCATGCAGTTGACATTTGCTGTTTGCTTTTCTTGTCTGTTGGATGTTGTGAGATTGTCTTTAGCTGGGCATTTGAAACAGTTGTTGGGGTTCTTTGTGAAGAAATAGTTGATCTATTGAGCGAGTGTGATGGTCTGCACTTCAAAGCATCTAAAACAACATCTACACAACTTGAAGATTTATTTATGCGCACGCTTGCACTAAAAATCAAGAAAGTTGCACCAAATGTATTCAAAATGTTGCTTGCACTGCTGGATGCAAACCTGGGAAGCAGGCAAAAATTCCCAGTGGCAGACATAACAGAAATGTTGCAAGATTATGAGGAAGATGACCATGAGGATGAGGAGATGGATCTTGGTGAACTCGGGGGATGACTCTGCTGTGATCAATGAGTTGGCATAGCGACCAGCTCCTGTATAAGCTTACTTTACCCCTATCTACCTTGCTTATGTTGGCATTTGGACCGCTTACATAATGATGTTTGTCTTTACCCTTACTGTCACCTGGAGTGACTTTGAATGCAGTTTCTTTAACCTCTCTCTCTCTCCGAGCTTTGAGCCTAGTTCAGAAACTCTTTAGAGTCTTATACTATCAACTCTGATATAGTAGCTAAGCAGCAAGACCCAACACTTTCTGCTCTTCAGCAGATTTATTGTACCCACATCAGATTCCAATAAAAGAAGGCACAAGAATGATGAAGGGAAAGGACAGAAACAGCAATGATGAGCTGAAGTGTTAAGACCGTTGTGGGTGAGGAAATAGAGATGTGAACTCTGGGGAGTCACAAGGATATCTATCTTGAGAGGAGAGCTGATAGAATCGTCCCTTAGGGGATGCTACTGAGACAAATCTCTTTAAATAATGAGAGGGATTAAGAGAAAGAAGTGCAAGAGGTGCAGAATATGCGGAAGGATGTGATTAGAGTGTGGTGCGCCCGAGACAAGGAAGTGGGCGGCGGCTGACGATAAGGGCTCTTCTGAAGGTTGATAGACAAGTCTTAATCAGACAAGACAGAGGATAGACAATAAGAGTGATGATATAAGCACTTGGAGCACAACTAGGCAGAAAACAGATAGTGAGTCCAAGTAAGGGAAAGTAAGTAAGTCCAGAAACATCTGAGTCCTCTAGATATGTAAGTCACTACATGCACTGTCAGGGTACTGAGATGTAAGGGAAGCGGATAGGCTGTGCAGAAGCGCATAGGGAAGCAAAAGCGCATAGGGAAGCGGATATGTAGTAAGTCTATATGTAAGAGACCCTGGATGTGGTCAGCGACAGAGATAACAGTGGGAATACACCAATGGAACCGGACAGACAGGACAGGACATGGGAGGATATGCCGAGTAAAGTGCTTGTGTGCGGAAGGGTGCACAAGTGCTGCATGTCTCTCTATGGCTGTGCTTACCTGGGGATAGGGATGAGGTCGATGTATAAATGGGGGGATACAAGCCTGTAGAGATATTACTCTCTACACCGTTGTGGGAGAAATCGTAGAAGTCCACTATAGTGATAGTGTACCGATCCTGCTGGGTGCAAGAATAGTAGTCGACCCAAGGGGATAGCTCTGAGAGCAGTTCCTCAAGTATGAGCGAGGGGAACAGTGAAGAAGGAAGTGATGCGCTGAAGACAGAACAGCTGGGTATGCGAGGAGATGCGGAGATGCGTGGATGCGCGGAGATGCGAGGTATGCGGATGCGGAGAAACGAGTGGATGTCTAGGGGGTACCAGGTATGCGGAACGGGTAGGGTACCAGGTATCAGAACAGGTAAACGGGTAGAGCAAACTAGGTACCAGGTATATGCAAAGACGTGCAGAAACCGCCTTGCAAAGGAACTCAACTAGGACTAGCAATAGTCAACTGTCAACGGCGATGCGAGCGTTCGCGCGGGATGAGAAGGCAAACAAGTGATTGCTCAAGCAAAGAAAGACAAGGTAAGACTAAGCTAGTGACTCCACAACACACAACCAGAGAGAGGGAATGTAGGAAAGTGAGGTCCGTACGAGTCTGCGATGTAGTATATAACAGAGTCCGTAAGAAACCGGAACCGTATAAGCGGGCGCATATGCAAGCGAAGTTGGAAGGAGATACATGTAAGTTATGGTACGCGGCCTCATGTATGGGAACTGATATGTAACTGGCCCTGCGAACGGTTAGGAATGACTAACTAAGAATGAGAACGCACCAGTGAGGACAGACGGATGCAGACAGGACATGGATGGATAGTGCGTTGTGATGCGATGCGATGAGTGCGTGGATTCCGCAACCTCGTGTGATGGTCCGCAACGGCCTGTGGAAGGTATGTGTGACTTCGTCCAGTAAGGGGAAATGGTGCCGTACGGGGCTGCAGCCCAATCGTCTCCTACACTGTGTCAATGGGTCAGATCTGAGGGACTTGGCTTCAGCTTGTGCGCTGCGCCTCTTACCCAAGTACGTGCCCCTAATTCATGGGGGACAGATATTGTTGGCTGGAGCAGGATGGCTTGGCTGGAGGAGATAGAAAGACTACCCGAAGGTAGAAATGGAGGGTTTAGCCTTAGGAATATAATCCTGAGACTCAGAGGTTTGGCCAGGAAGTATAATCCCAGGAGCCGAGAGGAACACAAGGAAGAACTGAGTCTAAGATGATATTTGAACTGAGTATGTACTACATTTTACACAATATTATATACTATAGGAATATCCAACGGGGACATAGGTATTGAAGTTCCGGGTCAACATGAAGTTGACAAGCACAAGGAAAATACTATAGGGGTGATTGAGGATGAAGTTAGATATTAACTGTCAATGAGATCCAGGCATAGGAGATATGATTGAGAGAATGGAGCCAGATATTAACTGTCAGCGAGATCCAGGCATAGGAGATATGATTGAGAGAATGGAGCCAGATATTAACTGTCAGCGAGATCCAGGCATAGGAGATGTGATTGAGAATGGAGCCAGATATTAACTGTCAAACAAATCCAGGCATACAGGGGTCAGAATGAAGGGTACATACAAATGGGGTAATGAGGGTAGAAGCAGGGACAGATATGAAATCTGGACCGGGCCTGAGGAACTGGGTGGACCGGACTGGACGAGAAGATTCAGGAACAGGATATGACATGGTGATTAATTAGACTGAATTTGCAAGATATTTAAAGCTGATTCTAGTCAGCAAAGAAAATATATATCCTATACTAAATGATATATAAATAGCTAGGATAATTAATGTAAGAGTAGAGTAGTCAAAAACATCAAACTTGTGTAAAATGTGATTTGTCAAGTTATTATTCCTATATAAGGATCCTATAGATATCCTTGAGTATCTAGGTAATAGAGAGAAAGGGTGCACTATACAACAAAGTCTTGTCCTATGGTTCTAGGCTCCTAATACATTGTTCACACTATTAAATAGATGATAGGTATCATATTCCAATGGCTTACTACCTATAAATTGGCATATGTAAATAGATTTTGTATATATACCATATCTATTAATGTAGGGCGCTTCAGGGGGTTAAATACAGGTGGAAATCTCTTCATATATAATCTGAAACATAGTCTGAATATACTAGAATACTTCCCTGTCAAAGGGGTAAAAATACAAAAATGTTCTAGATCTTAACTTATTTTATTTTGAATGGTCCCTGGAGAAGGAGACACATAAAAAACAAAAAAGTGGTCTATTATATTGTATTATACATGTAAATACCAAACTACTACTTATATACAAGGAGCCTATTGTAGTGTAGTGGCAAAGTTACAGTAGGGTGGAGAGGGTGTGGGAATCATGAATATTGTGGAGATTCCCAAAATGGGTGATGTTTTTGGTGTTATGAGAAAATTCCCACAGTAGGTGGCCAAAATTGTGAAGCTAGGAAGTATGAGAATATTGTGGGGAGTGACCAAAAAAGGTGGTGTGGAGGAATTCCCACAATAGGTGGCCAAAAATGCAAAAGTATGCTGGGAATAACACATGCATAGCTGAGATTTTGTAGAGGTACTGGCTTTGCCCAGGAAGGATGTATCCATATGTGTGGACAATTAAATTCAATGATGTATTAGGGTTTTGGACTAATAAGCCAGTTTGAAGATTATTTTCCCCCACTTACAGGTGATGGAGGAGCATACTATTGTCTAGTGATGTTCCTTCTCAATGTTCACTCAAGCATATTAAATTTTGCAAGGCCAGTACTAGAAAACAGCATGAATTTTTGGTACTATATTTTAGTTATTGATAACTCTCCATGACTGCAACCACTACTCTGGTTGTAGACCACACTGTTTTAGACAACAATGGCTCCTTCCAAACTCCTGCCTTTGATCTATTTTCATCACCTTAAACACCAGTTCCACCATTCACAATCATCTGCATACAAAATATGGTCCACACAAGAAACAATATACCCTCAAATTCTCCACTGCATCTCCCACAGCTACTGTATCCACTCACCCCTTGGCAACTCAGATCTCTATTGATTTATTTGTTATTAATCAACATGCACCTGACTACAACTTGATCCACTTTCAATGTTATTGGCACTCACATACTATATGGGAGACCATCAAGCGGCTCTTCCCAAGTGGTCACAAGTCAGCATGAGAACATGGTCGCTCTTGTTTCCATGGGGTCAAGGTGGATAAAGCAGACAGTATAGAGGGGGTTTGTGAGGAGTATTATGATAGAATACTAGATTCTGCATTGCATGCTATCTATATCAAGATAGTGTACTCAGTTGCACACACAAGTGTGAATCAACACCTAGCATTACCTGTATCAAGATAGTGTACTAGTGTAATAAACTATAAGCATAGGTGAACAAAACAGCAAACTAAAGATATACTAACCTCAGTCACAGACACAAGTGTGAATCAACACCTGAGGTTTGAAGCACATATGAAAAGGAACTATATCCTATTGCAGGTAGATAGAGAGAAGGAATAATGTGCTATGCACATGATATAAGTCTGCCAGACATCAGACATCTAGTGGTGTATGAAAGCCATTCTATGTAGCCTGTTGGTGAGGACTACCGATCTGGATGAGTGTGAGTATAAGTGCTCGTCCCAAGGGGATTGCTACTGAAGGAAACTCTCCACATTAAATATGCAAAGGAATCAACCCTACAGGCTTATGATCTAGGCAGCTGATGTAGAGGTGGAAAGAGAGAGTCTGACGAAAATAGAAACAGAACAGGTGTCTAGTGGTGCGACTGTGACTTGCAAGGTTTCAAGGTCTCAATGTAACGAGCTACCGGCAGCGATCTATAGAACAAATAATGGTTGACTGGGTATGGAAGGGGCAGGAATGTAAGGACCATACTAAAATCTGTTTGCAGGACAAAAAGCTAAGGGGGCTTGATCACACGATCTTAGTCCAAGGGAGTAGAAGGAAGTGCTATTGTCAGAGGCCAACCTGACTATTTATCATGATCTGTATGAACTCAGAATCTCCTAAGTGGTAGCGGTAAGTACAGGCGAGTCCGTAGTGTAGTAATATGTAATAATAGCAAGTGGTGTGCGAAATGTAAATCTCACAATGGTATATAGAAAATAGCTACCAATAACCAAATACCTATGTGGGTCTTGCTTAGCCTAAGGCTAGTTCGACCCTAAAGGGGCCTGCTGTCTGATATAAGAATGATAGTTAGTGTCTTTAGGTCAAGAAAAAAATAATCCGAAGGTCAAAACATCAGGTCCTAAGCAAATCAGGTAGTCCAATGTGCGGGAAAGTGTGGGTCCAATGCGCAGGAACTGCGGACTCAATAGGTGATAATGGTATGGGACTGGCAATGAGTGGATATCGTTAGGAACAGATGAGAGGAATCAGAATGGAGGAATGGCAAAGGTTCCGACTATAAGGAGCAGGTAACCAGGTGTACTGGGCAAGGTCTCAAGCTGTCAAGGTATCATGGACCAAATGTATTAGAGAACTCCCCTCTACAGAAAGGTAAGGTCATGGTGAGAGTCCCTTCCTATATAACTAGCTACATAGAAATCCGGAGTCCTATAGGCGAAGATAGTGGGTAGTCCAAAGGTAAGACATGAGGCACTGCAGACTATGGGAACACATGTAATAGCGCTGTCTATAGTGTCAGTCATGAGAATAATTGACTACTCACAAATGGAGATACATAGGAATGGACTAGACATAGGGATAATGGGTGTCCAAAGGGTATCGGATAGTCCGAAGCGCAGGAAAGTAGCGGGTCCAAAGGTGTGGGGTATTGGGTTTATTGGGTTATCATCGTGTCCAATGCAAGTGACATCGGGTATAGCGGGAAATGGATGGGAAGTGCGCTGGTGTCAAATACCATCAAAATAGATGACTGTGAGGCTAGCGCTAGGATTTTTGGTACAGCGGCCTCGTGCAGGGAAACACACATGTAATATGGACTGTAGATGATCAGAGTAACAAGAAAGGACTAATAACGCACCAATGGGAATGAGTGGACAAGGATAGGACATGGACAGAAGGGATGCTGGGATCTGTGGTGGTGTCCATAGGGCAGGATTGGTCTGTGAATATCTGGAACAGACAGAAACATAAGTGACTCAGGCAGGATGCGCTATGTGGGCTAAATCATGCAAAGGTGACTATTGTGAGGCTACAGCCAGATTATTTGTCACAGCAGGTAGCTACTGCAGACTATCAACTGTAAATGAAATTGAAACATATCCAAATGAGACATTGCACTACAAGATAACATGTTGGGCTGAACTACTTGCTGGTTCCAATGTATCGCACCAGGTGTGCACACATTGAAAATGAAGCAGAGCAGAAGAGGCAAGCAAATGCTACTATGGAGCAGCAGGTGAGCCCTTTGCAGATGGTGGTTATGACACTGACTAATGAGTCCTTATAGTTGAGGACATTGCGTCATGTTGGAGAATTATTCTGAGAAGGCCCATCTGCATCATCTACCTCTGACACTGACCAATGGCGGGGATGGAGTAGCTTTACTTCAACTTTTTGTGCAGCTAGTACAAGGACAGCAAGACCTTAGTCAAATTGTTGTGTAGTTTCTATCTCAGCCTTACCACAAGTTCTGGCGGCAGTGCTAATACTTCCATCAGCATCAATTGCGGAACCAGATGCTTATAATGGGAAGTACAAGATGTTTAATATGTTCATGAGCCAACTCTTTCTATTATTCTCTGGCAAGACATCGGTCTATGCAAATGACCAAATGAAAATAATCACAACCCTATCCTTCATGAAGAAGGGGTTTGTAAGTATGTGGGCAACCAACATAATGAAGCAGTTGAGGGAAGGCACTCTTATCTTTGTGACTTGAGTAGCATGTACTATGGACTTAGTACTCATCTTCGGCTCATCGAACAAGGAACTCATTGGGCACTCGGACTCAGACTACGCTGTGGATTGAGACAATAGTAAGTCCACCAGTACTTATGTCTATCAACTATTTGGAGGGCCCATTAGCTGAAAAGTCTCAGAAGCAATCTGTGGTTGCTACTTCGACCACAGAGGCTGAGTATATAGGTCTATTGAATGCTTCACGTGAAGCATTATACCTAATTCAACTTCTACACAACTTCTGCCTCGACCCAGATCTCTACAATCCCACACTCTTGAAGAATCCAAGGTTTTACGAAAGAGCCAAGCACATTCACGTCCACTACCATCTCATCTGTGACCTCGTCAACACAAACAAGATCAAACTCCAGTATAAATCCACCTCAGAGATGATTGCTGATAGTCCTATAAAGGTGTTACCTTGCCCAGCTGGGATCCAGCACATATACTATGTATGATATTGTATCACTGTCAAGAGTGCTAAATATGACTTTTGTTAATGCTATCCCCTCCTTCTGGACCTAAACAGATTATTATAGCTTTCCATGAGAATATAGAAGGATGATGTCATTGTTTGTGTGAAGGCTGTCTGGGCACACTGCTTATTAAGAGAGACACTACCTACCTTTACTTATTATTTAATGTTATCATATCAGATGATTTAATTTTGAATGAAACACTTAGCCAGCAGGTGGTGATTATATCGGCATAATCAGCTCTAAATAGTTGCAAGACTTACTGAACAAAATCAATCTCATGCTATCCTGTATTATTTTCTGCTACATTCCTAGATAGCCAGAGAGACAAGCAAACACCTCCAACTGTTCAAATCTGCATCTCACTTCTGTTCTTGAACCTAACCTTTAAAAGCCCTTCAGACACATTGAGTGTGAAAGTCTGCTGCCGCTGCCGTGTCCATTTGATCCCAGCTCTTATTCACCTATTTTATATTTTTTCTGGCAGTATGAACCCTTGAGCAGGAAGGCCATCATCAACTTGCCATCATTGCTCTTTTCTTTTGTGCCCAGCCCTTTTTACTTTTTCTTTGCAATGTGAACTATGAAATAAAGCCTACCATGCCGCACTGAGCGAAAGTGATTCCGTGTAGCCTGTGAGAGTAGACTACCGATCTGTATGAGTGCGAGTATAATAGCTCGTCCCAAGGGGATTGCTACTGAAGGAAGTCTTCGCAATAAATGCGAAGGAATCAATCTGACGGGCTTAAGATCTTATGCGGGGGATGCGCAAGGGGGAGTCCAGTGCAAGGAGAGGCTATCCAGATGGAAGGGGTCGGATGGGTATGGATATCTAGTGGTATGATCTTCAGGGTATTGAGGTGGCAAGGTTTCAAGGTGTCAAGGTTTCAAGGTCTCGAGGTAACGAGCTACCGGAAGTGATCCGTGGAGCGGAACGAAGTCCGTTGCAGTGTGGAAGACTAAGGGGACTTTTTGATCACACGGACTTAGATATAGAATCCAAGGGAGTAAAAGGAAGTGATATTGGCAGAATATGACACAACTATTTATCATAATCCGTAAGAACTCAGAATCCACTAAGTGGCAGTAGTATAGGCGAGTATGTAGTGCAGTAATATGTAAAGGATGGTAAGCGGCCTCATGTATGGGAATGTACATGTAATACGGACTGCTGGTTGATTAGAGTGATAAAAGGAGACAAATGACGCACCAATGGGGATGGATGGACATGGATGGACATGGATGGACATGGATGGGTCGGAACCAAGGGCAAGTGAGGGAATCTGTCGCAGGTATCGTATCCGTTAGGTGTCCAGAGGGAACAGATGTCAACGGAAGAGGCCAGATGGGTGTGGACACGAATACCTGACCAGGTGAGCTCCGGATCTTGATTAAAGGGTGATTGTGAGACCAGCGTCGGAATGGTTGGTACAGCACATAGTTTGCATCCCCCCACGCCTTTTGCAATCTTGCCATGTCTTTCATGAGGATCATCTTATATCTGTTGAAGCGTATCTTGCCACGCAACCTTTACCATAGTGTGCGTGCAGCGTATGAACCATATACCCTCTTGTCATCCCCTGTTCTGACATACCCAATAATTCACAACTTCACTCTCATACCAGCAACCCTAACAACAGAAAAGATCTCATACGGCGCATTTAATTACATTCTTCAGTACACCTTTAGCACAATCAGCACAGGCTATACAATCTACCCCCAGTATCCTGTAGGACACGAGTTGATCAATTTCATTACCACATTTCTTATAATGGTATAAGTTAGCCCCGTCTTCTTTGTGGAGGTCAAACCACCCAGTGACGCTAACAGTGCTTTGAAAAGGTATGAAGTAGATGATCAAATGAGGAGGAGGTTTCCACAATTGCATGGTCAAATACAGGTATCCACCATGTATGGGATGAGCACACTGGGGAGGAACATGTGCTTCTATGAGATGGAAACAGCAATGGGCCACGTATCCCCGGTAGCAGGTTGCACTGATTAGAACTTGGATTCAACCTCGCCAGTGGGGTGGGAGAGGCTTAGGGCCGTGGACCATAATGCCCATGAGAGTTTGCAATGTGCCCGCCATACACCAGTGACACATGACAATGGCACTACATCATTTAATTGGTAAGATTTGCCACGTATACCTCGATAACATCATTATTTAGTCGCAAACATTGGAGGAACATGAGGCCAATTGTCCGCCAAGTCTTACTGGCCCTGCATGCAGTGTCATGCATGGTATGCTGTTCATGCCATGACATGCGTGCTATATAAAAGATAAGGAAGGTACAATAAACTGTACTCTACCCTATCACAAAGTGACCCTATCATTTTGCTTTGATTCATCAGTCTGTTTTCTGAAGTCTTGTTTCTTGTGTTTTTTTCTGAAGTTTTGTTTCTTGTGTCAGACTCATGAATTTCTATGCATTTCTATTTTGTTCTGTGACCTTCTCTATTTTTCTATTTTTCTTGGCTTATTCATCAGACTTTCTCACTAGCTGACTGATCATATTTGTAATCATGTACTGACAATGCTCAACAGAGCTTCTCCTCAGATAGAGGTCCTTCCCTAACAAACATTGCCAGCTCTCGAGGCATTACACAAGGCTTGGTTATCATGTTCCATAAATCCAAAATATGAGGCCTTTCATATAGCATTGAATGCTGCTGTTGAGAAAATCAAGCAGTATTATGATCGAAGTTCTGAGAGTGAGGCATATATCATGGCTATGTGTAAGTTAAGTTCACTCCAGCAATTGATACACTCATTCAATCAAACTTTCTAGTGCTTGACCCTTCCTAGAAGGATACCCATTTCAAGAGATTTTTTGAGCAAGACCTTACATGCTAAGGCCCTCAAAGAAACCGAGAGAATAGTAAGTGCAAACACTTGTGAAGGTCATTGACTAATGTCCTCGTAGTTTCAGGAACATCATGTTGAGCTATATGGTGAACACGAAGCTCCTTCTTCACCCAAAATGAGAAAAGTAGGCAAGGTAAATGCACTCCTTTGCAAGTTATCCAGTGACGAGAGTGAAGGTGAACTTAAAGAATCATCTATTGATCCTCAATCACCATAGACAAGGGAGTTTCACCTTTACCTTAAATATCAATGGATTTAGCTGATTAAGCTCAAAATTAACAGCACAATACAACATCTTTCAGAATAACAGACAGGGTAAAAGTCTATGATTCTGGGTTGTAAAAATACTGCTCTAAGTCTAAAGGCTACTATATTTATACTGCGTCACAAGTATAGCACATGTGATATCTAAAATAAATGGAGACTATCAGTGGAGAATGAAGATATCATAGATAAAGGATGTGAGACATCCTAACATAGATGAGTTGTTGCAATGTGTTAAAATGAAAAGGTGACATAGGAACAAAAATAATCTAGACTGCTGGGTGCCTTCACTTTAACCATAACCATTACAAATAGCATATAAGTGAACCTCACTGTAGTATTACCCCGACTATTACACAGAAGTTCAGAATCATGTCGGATCTGATGGAATGGTAGGTTGCACCTGGTACTAATGCTGGAGATAGTCATATGATCAACATAGGTGCAGGATTCAACAATGCAGGTCCCAGTGCAAATACTTCCTATGTCACATGCTCCAGCTTTGTCTGCATCAATACAGTCAATAATGAGGCCTAGGGTTAGGAGGAGGAGGAGGAGGACAATGATAACAATACTAGTGATGGTTGTGGTACTAGTGACGATAATCATAATGATGAAGACTGCGACAAGCAAGAAAAAAGTGATGATGATGACAACAGCGGGAGAGTAGAGGACTACAGTAGCAGCACTGCAGCTGCAATGTCCACTGTCGCACAAGGCAGGAGGGGCAGGTTACATTTAATATTGTGTGGTTAGTCCAGATTACTGTGAATACCAAAAAAACTTCTCAACTCTTTTCTCTTAGACACTAATGTTGTAATGGGTAGGCTGCAGAGAATAATTTGACTCGACTACACTTGTGGCTAATGCTTCCTTCATTAGATATTGATAGGGATGATATTGTGTCTCCATGAGATCAGTACATTATTTATAGCCAAAGTCAGGCCATTAACACTAGATGTAGCTCTTGACATCAACATATTCATATTCTAGTTGTTCTCCATATGCTGATCCAATGATGGACAGAGGGGTTGCCTGATGGATGTCTAATTTATCTGGCAAGATCTAGTTGGCTGCAGTCTAACCTTCCAGCTTGTGAACAGCTGACTCCAGGTCTGAGGCACTGATGCTGGAGGTGTCTTTACTGATACAAGATGATAACATCATAACTAAATGTAGCAGCTACTCTGATTTTTGAGAGTTGAAGCAATGTGTCCGTCCAGGTTGTCCTCATGCTCTGTGCTTCAAGAAGTCAAATCTACACCCCTCTGTCAATGATCTAAACCTGAGTGAATTTTGGTGTCCCCCATGTTAGAGCCGCAGATGCTCCAGTCCACTACCAGTGAGTCAGTTATTACTGAATCCTGAACTTATGGGTGACACCGATTTGTTGACAGTACTCAGTGGTTGCATAAGGTGCCTACCTTACTGGCCAAAATCACACCTACCGCCCACTGGTGTTTTACACCATTGCCTTAAAACTTGATAGATACCTGGAGCATCTGTTGTGCTGTCAGTTGGAGGAAGAATTTTCACCTTGCAAAAACATAGTGAGTATTATTTCAGTTAACCTGAGCTGATGCATGACTGAAATCAAATATGTGCTAGTTATAGTGCAACAGCATTAAACTGGTTACTGGAGCTGCATGTCTGCCTAATGTCTGTGCCCGTGTCTGTGATGTCCTAGCCTTTGTAAAGGCCAAATGACAGACTGATTTGTTAGTTCTGTTAGACTCACACAGAATACGAGAATGGTGAGCTGGTCCACAGGTTAACAAACATAGAAATACCTGAACTCAGAATGCTTTAGAGGTGGGCCCAGGCTAATTCTTCCTATTTTCTTTTATTACCCCAGATCTCAGGTGTTCCACCATTACTTGGGCCTGGAATTGTGGAAGTAGTTCCTGGACATGATTGCATAATAGGAATGATTCTGGTCTATGGTCCAGCATTCACAATGCACTTACATTATGAGACAATCAAGTCACTGGTCTCCAGGTATAATTCCCCCTGCCTCAGGGCTTTTTAATGACATTAGCGAATTCAGCAACCATCTGTTGTTCATCATTAGATCCACTACTCATTTTGTTAAACTCTCTGTGGTCATGCCCTTCATGTTGAGGGTGATCATATAGGTCTATATTCATCAAATGCCTATTGAGCTAGCCCTGGAGCAGGAGATCATCCACTGGACTTTGCTGTCCCATACTCTTGTGGTGTTGGTCTGTTGGAATCAATCAAGGCATCTAATTAGCCAGGGATACATAATGTCTACTCCTTCTGGTTGTATATGGGGCCTTCCTTCTGGTGTGGTAATCATTTATGCAATCCTGAGCCTAAGGACACCAAAGCCAAATGATCACCTCAATAAGATATTAACTTCTTGAAGTTCTGGTGCAACCACTGTGGCTGGGATTCCAGTAGTTACAAACCAAAATCCAGCTGGCTTCATCAATTCTCTTCCTATGCTTCTTTGTTTTGTCATTATTTTCCACTCACTGTGGAGAAGAAGGATTACATCTGGCTGGACTTCTCATTCATATTAAGTGCCCTGGAGCATTCATATGTTCATGTTTTAAATAATATTGCACATTTGCTGCCCCTTTCTATATGTCAAATAATACAGTTTTGTTTTCTATACAGCAAGCATATTTTATATCCAGAGAACATCTACATAGTGATCCTTAAGCGCAAGGTGAAGTATAACTAGTAGTCCAGTAGTTATTATGTCCACCACATCATGAATCATCAGTCAATAAACATATCCTGAGCAATTACAAGGTTTGTCCATAAATAACTTGCTTGGGCAGCTTTATTAATGAGAAATTCACTATCAGCCATATCATCACATCCTAAAACCATGACTATGCAGAAAATTATGACAAAAAGTGAACCAATCATGACCTGAAACTACTGAAGTATTAACAGAAAATCAGTAGATTACTGAGCATCACCTTCAAGTGAAGTCTGAGTCAAAAGTATATCTAAATGCAAAAAAAATGTAGAAAGTAGTGAATGCAAAGAGGAGGCATCTATGTGACATCTATATTTACATACTCAACCATATATAGAAGCAACTAGTAAAGAAGACAACTTGTGGATTTGACCAACATCATGTAAATGTAAATGTGACATAGTGTGGCAATTATGCAAATTGAAGAAAAGATATCCAGGTTGCCTGAAACCCAAGATACTGAGATCATTATCAAAGCCATATTTGCATAGAATAGACTGCCCACAATGGAACACCTAAGTGTGTGTTCTGGTAGATATATCTAGACAAGCCCTCCACAAACCACCATTATTTAGAATACTAAGATAGTTTGGAGACCTCAAAATAAAATTCTGTATCTATGAATCTAATGGCTTGCCCAGAGCTGTTTAGGTTCTTGGGGTCTTGGGCTTGTCTAAGGAAGTCCTGCTTCCAATATTGTGTGTTTCCTTCATTCATAAGAGAGACAATGTAAATGATCTTCTGTTTATCTTTGGTGTAGATCTTATCGTTGATATCAAGGTGTGCTATGTAATGCTGCAAGTATCCTTCTAATTTGTCTCTGTCCCCATCGAAGGTAGGGTCTTTATTTCAATGAGTTTCAATTGTGTCAACATTGTGGAGTCTAATGGGGGTATCAGAGGTAGAGGTCTTAGGGAGAGTGCTTGGACTAATGGAGTGAGATGGGAGGTCACGGTGTCTTCTGCCTTTCAGGGGTGTTCTGTTCTTTCTTTATGTCAGACGACACTATTGGTGAAGTCTCTGGTAAAGAACTTGAATTTTTTATTACGACTGGGATAAGTCTACTCTCAAGAGTCGATAATAACTCGTCAAGTTGAGAGGGTAGTTCTCTATAGATTGTAGAGGATCAAGATCAGTTCTGACTAGCACAAGTGTCAAAGACTTGTCTAGAGTTCTTAAGTCAAAAGGCTACTAAGTTAGATTCAAGTGAGGAATGCAATCATAAGTATTGCTACTTATATAGTACAAGAAAAGCACACAGACCAGGCTAGTAAAGGTACAGAAATAGAATGCATAGACATCCTGAGAGTGTTCATGCAAGCATGTTGATAAGCAGTCAAGATAGCAAGAATAGGTACAAAGAGAAAAATGTATGTGGGTAACACATGATAGTGATTGTAACAAGCTCCACAGCTGCACCTTCTTATGCATTTTGTGGAACATTGTCTCCACCTATTTTGGCAGAAGCTACATGTCAAGCCTAAAATCTTTGATGACATCCTGGATTTAATCTCTGACCACCCTATCTTCTGCAACAACTCACACAACCCTCAACTTCCTGTGTCTATACAGCTTGCTATTTTTCTCAACCCTGCAGGCCACTACGGTAATGCCATATCAGTGGAGAATGTGGCCCAATGGGCAGGCATTAGTATTGGATTGGTTGTGAATTGCATCAACTGTGTTATGGTTGCACTGCTCGACCAGCATGACACATTCATGGGTTTTCCTACTCCTGATTCAGAGAAATTTGAGTGTACCTGGGAGTATGCAGCAAATACTGTTTGCCCTGAGTGGCAGAATGGTATTCTAGCCATGGATGGTTCTACGATTAATATTTATCAGAGACCTGGTTTTCACGGTGAAGTTTTTTTTGATAGGAAGTCAAGATACTCCCTTGGCTGTTAGGTGTGTTTCCTTTTTTTCTGTCTCCCATTTGTAATTAAATTAAATTATAGGCCATCATTATGCTCCATAATCTGCTTATAGTTGACTATGCTCTTGGTCACCCTGGAAGCATCCACAATGCCTATGCTTTCAGATCCACTCACATTTATTGAGAACACACCACACTTCTTCCAGGTGACCACTGGATCTGGGCAAACAGTGCATATCTACTGGAGCCCTGGTGCATCCCCCCTTTCAAGAAACCCCGCAATGGCAGGCTCACAAAAAATCAAAGGACATTTAACTATCACCTTTCTCTGGTTTTTTTTCTTCTTTTGCATTTTATTTGTGATTTAAAATTCATTTGGATCCATGTTTGTGTAGAACATACATTTGCAGCTCTCAAAGGGCGCTTTCAATTTCTTAGGGACCTTCAACGGAATATTCATTCAGAAATGACCTTCATACAGCCGTTGTGGGTACAATGAAAAGACTTGGAGGAATCTGCTCCGATGTGAGGGCGATATGTTCGACCTCTAGGGGAAACTGAGTCGGGCAGAAGTCGGGCGACTAAGTGCGCTCAAGGCGCGGGAATGCGTGAGGTAAGCGGAGGGTGCGGGAAATGTGCAGAATGCGCGGAGGCGCGGGAAGGTCGCGCTCGTAAAGTGCAAATGCAGAAGGATGTCTAGGATCGTGTATGACACGAGGAATGGATCTCAAGCAAATGTATTATGGATATAGACTGATAAGGGAAGGAGAGTATGACTCCTCTCTATAGATAGGTGCTCCCTAAGACATAGCACAAACTGCGGAACTCTACTAAGGGTGATTGCATAAGTCCGGAACCTTCTGTCAGAAAGCCCAGTAGATATAGAGGATAGCTAGCGAAGAGCGAGCAAAAAGCGTCCTAAAGCGGCCGAGGAGCGCGGAAGCGTGGGAACGCGGCCGAGGAATGTCACAGATGTATGTAATGAGACAGTGGCTGTCAGAAAACCAATATATGTATGTAATACGCACCTATGGACCGAATAGACAATGGATGGATGGATCAGAGGAAGTGCGGGAAAGTGTGCACTGAGCGCAAGCGCGGTGTCATGCATGGTATGCAGTTCATACCATGACATGTGTGCTATACAAAAGATAAGGAAGGTATAATGAACTGTACTCTACCATATCACCAAGTGATTCTAGCATTCAGTCTGTTTTTCTGAAGCCTCGTTTCTCGTGTTTCATTTCTCGTGTCAGACTCAGGGATTTCCATGTATTTCTATTTTGTTCTGTGACCTTCTCTATCTTTCTATTTTTTCTTGGCTTATTCATCAGACTTTCTCACTAGCTGACTGATCATGTTTGTAATCAGGTCATGTGACTGGGAAATAAGGTGATTTGTAAGGATTCAGCCTGACTCATCATGGTTTGTAAGACTTGCAACTGTATTTATAATCTTCTTAGTAACCAGGATGACTCAGCTCACCAAAAGGCTTGGTTTGTAAGCACAATCTTACCAATCCATGAGATGACTCATGCCTTTGATTTATCATGCTTTGTAAGAAAGCACTGTATTTATAATGTATTTAGTAAACAAGCTGACTCAGCACACCAAATGGTATGGTTTGTAAGCACATTCTTACCAATCCATGTGATGAATCATGCTTAGTAATCTGGCCTCCAAAAAGGTATAAAAGAAGCCCATTTTACACCTGTGAATATAGCTTTCCACTCTACACATAAGTAAGTGCAGGCCATTGGTGCCTTGAAGACATTGAAACTTCCCACTTAAACCTATCCCACTATTTGAGAGTGAGATTAAGGCAAGACATAGTCAAAGTGCCGGTGAAGTACGATTTAAGTTAAACTTCCACTCTAAACCTATCCCACTATTTGAGAGTGAGATTAAGGCAAGACATAGTGAGGGTGCAAGTATCATTTCAACAAAGTAACTTCAAGTTATATGATTAACTAGGTTACTCACTATTTCTATTTTATTGAGCTAAGCTCCACGTATACTTAACGAATACCTCTCTTTTTTACGGTTAGAGAGACACGAAACAGGAGAACACGACAAAGTTGAAACAGACTTTCATAGGTTGAAACACGACCTACTAGGGTGAAACATACCTATCATATTTCTATCCACGACAAATCCACAGTTGCATTTCTATATAGTTTCTTCAAACAAATAGAGGTAACTTGTTTACTCTTTGACCACCCACGAACAACACATTATCAACCGAGAAGTAAAAAAAATCCGTTGACCGTGGACTTGAGGAGCTGGCAACATTTAGTCTTATGAAAGTGTAGTTGTGATTGTCACTGCATTTTTACACGCTTCTATATAAGACCCTCAAGTAACAAGACAGCGGGAAGTGCGCAGAAGGTGCGGAAGGTCGTGGGAAAGTCGTGCCCACCTGTAGATAGGGATGAGGTCGATGTAGAAATCAGGGAATACGAGCCTGTAGAGATATCACTCTCTACACTGTTCATTGGATTCAATGTTGCCTAGTCCTCCATAACATGATCATACAGTTAGAGGAAGCTCGAGGATGGAACAAGGATAGTAGTACGGTAGAATGGGCCCATCAGCAGGGTAGAGGCATGATAGATGAGGAGTTCAAGGCCCCTGATGGTAACCAGGTGGTTGGTGACAGATTGTATGAGGGCATTCCGGGTCAGGCTTGCTGTGTGAAGTTGATGGACTTGCTATTTGACAGTCCTGCATCAAGGGCACAGTGCAGAGAAAGGCAGGAAATCAATCAGAATCACACAGAATCACAGAGCACACAAGCACACAAGAGACATAAGCATGCAGTATTCATAAATAAATAAAATTGGTAGCATACTATTGTGATACATACTAGATCAATAGCGAGAATGTCAATCAGTCAAACAACACCACCAGAAAAACACAAGATGCACAACAACAACTAAAAAAAATGTGATGGTGACATATAGTGTACAGTGCATAGCACGAACCCTCAAGACCCACCCATCATTTGATGATACTCCATCTTAAGGTGCAGCAGTGCTACCTCCTCAGTATATACCTTCATTGCCAACTTGAGCTCCTCAGACTGTGCCTCATAAAGACGGATCTCAGCATCATTTGCCTCTTGTAAGCATTAATGAACAGTGGTGGCATTTATATGCTCTTGCATTCACTTGGTGGTAAGGAACCGGTGTTCATTTTCTTGTTGGGTGAGATTAAGTTTGGCCATGTAATGATTGTTCTTGAGTTCCGCATGAGACACTTTGTCACTCCAGTCCGACTGGAGACTGCTGATTTTGTTGTTGATGAGGTCAACTTGGCTTAATACGCTAGATTGGGCCTTCTTTGACTTCCTCCCCTTTCCCTCGGAGGCCACAGGTTGCGATGTCAGAGTCATTGACATCCGGACTGATGGTGTTGACATTGACAAGGACCACAAATGTGAAGACCCAAGACCCGAAAGCGGTCTGAGTGACCCTGCACTTGAGCATTGTGTAGGGACAGGCGCGCCAAAGGCAGCATGACTGTTGCACAGCATCATCTCTGGCTTCTGAAGGAGGATGAATTTGGAACATGGAGGGGGGGTGAGAGGGGGTGAAGGGGAGGATGGAGGGAGTTGATGCTCGTGTGCAGACCTGGGACTGTTGAGGTCCGTGACGGGACCACTCATGTTGAGGTCATTGCCATTATTGTTGGTGCCATAGTCATTGCTGCCATAGTCCATCCCCCCATCCTCACAATTGAGGGGGGAATGGGACTGCTGCTGGTCAGGGTAAGAGTAGGGTTGAGTGCTATGGCCAGGATGGGTGTAGCCGCCATATAGGACATACTATTTGCCATAGGTAGTAATGGAGGGAGTTGGCTGGGTGCTAGAAGGAGGGGGCTGCTGGGTGTGAGGAGGGGGCTGAGCGCTAGGCTCATAGCCTCTGTTGGACTTAGTGCTTGACAAGTGTGACTCAAAAATGGCCAAAAGGTGGCTGAAACCTTAAATCATTGGTGTACATACAGCAGTACAATTTTTGTGTAGTACGCTACGGGTTTGTCAACCAATTTACCATGTTTCAGCAACTAAAAATTCTATAGCCCCCATACTGAAAGCCGCTATAGTTGGTGCCGGAAGGGAGGTGAGAACTTGGAGGAGGGGGCTGGGCACTAGGTTCAAAGCCCCCATACTGAGAGCCACTGTAGTTTGTACTGGAAGGAAGGTGAGAACTGGGAGGAGGGGGCACACAGCCCCCATACTAAACGCTCAAGCCACTGTAGTTGGCACCGGAAGGGAGCTGAGCAGTGGGATGAGGGGCTGGGCACTTGGAGATGGCTGGGCACTTGTAGATGGCTGGGCACTAGGGACATAACCCCCATACTGAGAACTTGAGGGTTGTGCATTTTTGGCCACGCTGTGCTACACAAGTGAGAGATAATTTCTGGCATGGTCCACTCCTGGAACCAACGAGAAATACTTGCTCTAACCGGGGCCATGTGGGCTACACTAAAATGCCCAAATCATCCCACAACTGTCCTCCCCCTTCTCCCATACTTTTTTGATAAGATAGGCCTCACTCAAACACCACCAACATCACGTGACATGACAACGGTGTGACTCTCACTGAAACTTTGTGGTGTGTAAAAGGTGAGTGCTGAGTGCTGAGCCTGAGGTGAGAGGGTACAGACAATAGAAAGGTATATATAGTAGTAGCAGTATAAATATATATAGGTGCTTTAATTGAGCTCGGCGAGATCATTGAAAACAGACAGTAGGAGAGTGCGATGACCACAATACTTTTTCATCGCAAATGCAGCTTGCTTGCTGTTTAAACTCTTATGGTATGTGTCCATAAAACACAGTGATCATGTAGTAAACCTGTACAACATAATTTAATTAAGAAAGTAATATAAAGATGAGTGTTACTCACTTTCACATTGATACAAGTGGAACAGCATCAAGAGAATGAATAATGTTCCGCATGAGCACTGCCTTGGATGAGCTCAGTGGCAATTGTGGCTAATGGTGCTTGGCAAATCCCCAGCACTGCTCGATGAAGTTAGTGTTGTGCGGGCTGGGCTTGGGCTTGGGCTTGGGCTGGGCTGGGCTTGGGCTGAAGCCCGGGCCTGACATAGATTGAGTACACGACAACGAAACACAACTACTGAAGTTATTCTAAACTCTCTATGTCAATATTTACCATGCTATCTTCACCTGACTTCTCGTGGCACCCATCAAGTGGCTCATCATCCTCATCTGCAGGATTTTTGGTTAATGACAAAGGTCCTGACTCACGAAAGACCAGGTCATGACGAAGAAGGCACTTCATTACCTGTAGTGCCTCAACGACATCCCCTTTGAGACAGTTGCGGTGCTTTGTAATCGTTAGTGTAGCTGAAGAAAATGCCTGCTCGCTGGATACCAACGAGGCCATGATTCCTAAGAAGTCGTGAGCAATAGCTGTCCACACTGGCCTGTACCTCATTGCATTTAACTTTTGATAGTAGATTTAGTATCTTCATTGAGTGAATGAATGAAGGAATACATACCCTCCACCACTGGACAATGGACTGGTTTTTGGCCAGCTGGTCAAATGTATTGACATAGTAGTTAAAGTCTTGAAGCCAGGGTTTCCGTGAAGTGATGGCTGCAGACAGAGTATATGAGGTTGGTGTGTCGTTGTTGTCGTTGTCATTGCTAAGTTCACGCAGAAGCCTCAAAATTTTGATTCCAGACGTGCAACCTTCTTGACTGGAGCGTATTCAGCATCACCATGAATCTGTGTATAGTACTCCTGAAACTGATGATAGTTAGATTGTTGTCATAGAAATCCGCTGGAATACTCACAATATGTTCGGCATTGTCGAGAGCCTCTTGTTGCAAATCGTCGTCCCAGTACTTCTTGAAATGGTTCATTTTTTTGTTAGGATCAAGTACTGTTTTCAATCAGTCATTAGATAGCCATAGGACTAGGTAGGAATGCATGAAAAACTTACACATTGCCATTATATGTGTGTCGGAGTCCCCAGTCTTCTTGTAGTACAATGTGATCTTGTCGATGGCAGCTTGAAGTGGTGCTTTGAAGCAAGCGTACTTTGGCCGTGCGAGTCATAAGCTCCAAGCTTTATGTAGTGCCTCGAGGGCTGGGATCGCAAGGTGCAGGCTTGAGTTTCGATCCAACGAAAATGCTTGTTGAGCATTGTCGGCATACTTTAAATGGGGCGTGAATGTTATCATTGAACATTTGAACACAAGAATGCAGTACACTCACAGCGAGAAGATCAAGGAACAACTTAACATGTTTCCATTTGTCGTTTCATAGCTCTAACTCGCCAATCTTCTTCCACTTCTCCAGATTGGGCTCCTTAAGGCCCATTTCGTAGATAAATGTGTTGATGTACTGTAGGTGACATGGTCAAATTTTAACACTGCAAACACATTAAGACATACCTTTCGCTGAGTTTCTGCATGCTCTAACATGATGTATGTTGAAGACCACCGGACCGGCATGTCGAGCACCAACTGCAGGGGACGTTCTGCACCTTCTCAGATTTGAATTTCCTTGAAGAGCTGCTTGCGCTGGGCCGACAACCGCTCCTGTTTTTTTTCCGTTAAGTTAGTCAGTTGAATTAATCAAATATCATGTACATACCTTCACAGCGATGGCTCGGATGAGCCCAACTTCATCCTGATTGTGACCAATAGTACTTGGCATATGGTCTTCAGGGCTTGCAGGGTTGTAATGTTTCGATTTCGTGTGAGTCTTGATGAGTGCTTGTGTCGCCAGGTTGATAATGTGCGCAAGACATCTAGTAACAAAATGTCAAAATGAATACAGCTAAAGTTATAATGAATTACTCACCTGATACGGTGTCCCTTTCCATCAAATGCCTTCCCGGTCTTCTTCGTAATCTGATTTGAAAACTCGTCCATCATCGAGTCATTGTTTGTCGCATTGTCACAGGTGATGTGCCCAATCTAAATGTGTGGTGAGTAACATGAAGCCTCGTAGGATACAAAACATTACCTTGTGCGAAATTTTGAGGTGATCAATAATTTTGAAAAGTACTTGACCTAGACAGCGGCCATTATGAGAGTTGTTGAGTTTTGTAAACCCAAACAGTGTGCTTTCAAGAACCCATACTCCAGGTGATGGCTCTTTGACCCAATGACCAGATACGGCAAAGTATCTGTCGATGTTGGAAGCTTGGCATGCATCACATGTATTGCTGATTTCACCTTTCACAGCATTGCTCTAAGTCAAAAATGAGTGGTAGTATCATTCAAATAAGAAACATAAACTTACATTAAGCTGCGTCCGAAGATACTTCATCTGCTTCTGGAACATCTCAATAATCTCGGCACACATCACCTTTCGATCCAGGATTTTGACACTGTGTGTGGATCGTGATGCTACATGAATCATGAGGTGGAAGGACGGGTGCTCCAGCGCTTGAATCGGCTATTTTCATTAGTGAGACGGTGTAGTACTATGTAAATTTAACATACCTGGTCAGTAGAAATCAACCATTCTGTTTCAGCCTCGCAGAATAACTGGTCGGCATATGGCAGCACACGGTCTGCCTTTAGTGGCTCATGCAGATGATTATCAAGGCCCATTTTGCTGGTGCTAGCTTTCTGGACGGCATTGCTTCGACGCTTTGCGACAGCCTTAGGCAGCATAGATTCGAATTGGTGGTCCTGGGCCCATTTATTGTAGGCAAGCTATGGGCAATACATTAGCATCACAGTAGTTAGAAATATTGACACTTACCTCATGATCTTTTTCAAGGTGTCGACGGCACGTTGACAGGTCCTTCACAAAGTGTTTGCGTGGACCCTTCTTCAAGCACAAGGTGCAATCGCGATAGGTGCGAGGTTTACCATCAACACCAGGCTCGGAATATTTTGGACAAAAAAAATTATCAACATCCTGACCTTTCTTCTCAGGCTTTTGCTTGATCTCGTCATGAGAGAGGCTCACAATGTTGATATCTGCAAGAAATCCATCATCGTTGACAGGATCTGGAGCTGCGCGTGAAATTTCAAGGTAAAACATAACGTGAATTAAAGTGTTCGAAACTCACCTTTATTTTTCTTCGCCGTGGCAGGTGCAGCACGGCTCTCTTCTGAGTCGGAACTGATGATCACAGATTGACTGCTATGCGACTTTTCTCTGTGTGAAAAAATGTTAAGTGGCATGTGCTGAAATGAGCAACACTGACGGTACTTACTTTTTGGTGGTTTTGGAGCGGCTGAACAATCTGTATCATCCCCACTACTGGAAGAGTCAGTATTCTGAGATCTCTTGGCAGGAGTGACAAAGTGGGAACTCGAAGTATCTGGTGCTGTGGTGGTATCCTCTGCCAATCGTTTGGCATCCTCAGCTCGCTTGAGGGCAATGGCTTCAAGGTGAGCACTCAGCTCAGGTGTTGCGGAATTAGAAGCATCGGTTAACCTCTTGGAGGGCGCGGGAACCTGTTTGGGCCGCACAAAGGCAAATTCTCGATCTGGATCGAGTGATGGCAGCATTACCGTGGCTGGGGATAATGAATGCCAATTGCATACAGAAGATTAGGCACAAATGAACTGTATAGTTAATACCGGTGTAGGAGACGATCTGGCTGCAGCCCCGTACAGCACCATTTCCCCTTACTGGACGAAGTCACGCATACCTTCCACAGGCCGTTGCGGACCATCACACGAGGTTGCGGAATCCATGCACTCATCGCATCGCAACGCACTATCCGTCCATGTCCTGTCTGCATCCGTCCGTCCTCACTGGTGCGTTCTCATCCTTAGTTAGTCATTCCTAACCGTTCGCAGGACCAGTTACATATCAGTTCCCATGCACGAGGTCGCATAGTGCTACTTACATATTATCTCCCTCCGACTTCGCGTACATATGCGCCTGCTTATACGGTTCCGGTTTCTTACGGACTCTGTTATATACTACGTTGCGGACTGGTATCCAACACTTTTCCTACATTCCCTCTCTGGTTGTGTGTTGCGGAGTCACTAGCTTAGTCTTACCTTGTCTTTCCTTGCTTGAGCAATCACTTGTTTGCCTTCTCATCCCGCGCGAACGCTCGCATCGCCATTGACAGTTGACTATTGCTAGTCCTAGTTGAGTTCCTTTGCAAGGCGGTTTCTGCACGTCTTCGCGTATACCTGGTACCTAGTTCGCTCTACCCGATTACCTGTTCCGATACCTGGTACCCTACCCGTTCGCATACCTGGTACCCTCTAGACATTCACTCGTTTCTCCGCATCCGCATACCTCGCATCTCCGCATCTGCATACCTCGCATCTCCGCGCATTCTCGCATCTCCGCATCTCCTCGCGTACACAGCCATTCTGTCTTCAGCGCATCACTTCCTTCTTCACTGTTCCCCTCGCTCATACTTGAGGAACTGCTCTCAGAGCTATCCCCTTGGGTTGACTACTATTCTCGCACCCAGCAGGATCGGTACACTATCACTATAGCGGACTTCTACGATTTCTCCCACACCGGAATGGACTGAAAGACTTACAAGTACAGCCTCGGTCATTTTTGGAAACTCAGCCCGGGCCTGAGCCCTGGGTATGGGCCTGCAGAGGTTGCAGGCCCAGCCCTAGGCCCTCGTCAGCCCACTCATAGGGCTGGGCTGGGCTGGGCTTCTGTAGGGCCAGGCCATGTGGGCCTGCAGGCCTGAGCCCTGGCCCACCACATCACTAGATGAAGTTGAGTTCACAATGAAATTTTGGCAAGAACAGGACCTAATAACCGCATTTTTCACAAGCAAGTTCAATGTTAGATTTAACATTTAAAAAGTCAGACTGATTATATAGCAAATGTTGACAGCAACAACAATTGATGTTTGGGTTGCATCGGAAGTTCAGGCACTCTGCACAAAGTTTTTCGCAGCCTTCAAAACCACGCTCCTTGAGGATTTTGGCCATGCCTTTGAATCTGCCAGCATGTTCATGACCTTCTGGAAAATAAAAACACTGTACACTCCTATCAGGCAACACACCATCTGCCATGCGAGCTTTTTTGTTGAGTGCCTTGCCATCAGCGCCATGAACTGGCTTGCCGCCACTGCCTATCATGGTTCTCTCGACTCCAAATGGGATGTTCCCAGGCTTCATGGGGAATTTCAGCATGCGATGAGCAGAAAGTGCATCATCAGCCCGTTTCAAGTGGGTACTTGCATTGTCGAAGACGAGTACATGCCAGTCATGTGGGTAGTGTCAATCAAGGATGTTCATGGCCAATTCAGCATGTTGGAGGATTGATGCATTGGTGAAGTAGCCATCCCAGGATTTTCCTGCATGGAAAAGTATTCTGGCAGATTCTTCACCACAACTTGAGCACAGCCACCCATAATTGGCTGAAATGAAGTCTGTGACCATCAATGAGGCCCCTTCCCCTTTGGGATGAGGCTTTGCAATCTCATTTCCATGCACCCAGTAAACTTTGTGACGGTCATTGGCATAGAACATGGACTCATAATGGAACCACAAGACAACATGCTGGGTGTGTGGGCGATGTTACAGTAACATGACGCCCCTATCTTTTTCTGACCCTTTCACCTCTTCACCTCGTCATGATGTCACACTTTCACCTCTTCACGATTCACCATGAGGCTTGATGCACTTCCTGATCCCCGCCGACCCTGACCTTCTGTGACAGAAGCTAGACGCTTCCATTTGACCCTTGATCTATGGCCTCATGGCCCTACTTCCTTTTCCCTTGATGTTCCCATTGAACCTTGACCCTGACCTCATGGACTCCTGCCTGCTCTTACCTTCCCGATATATCTTTCCTGACTCTTGTACGATTACCTGACCTGCCCTGAACACTGTGACCTTTACCTATATATAGTCGATCCACTTGTACTATTATTCCTTAACTTGATTCTACTGGGTTTTACCTTGACTTGTATATTCTCTTGAGTTAACTCTCTTGAGTCTGATCACGAACCCACTATACTCTTGGATCGCTATCCTTGAGTCGATGTGGGAGAAATCGTAGAAGTCCGCTATAGTGATAGTGTACTGATCCTGCTGGGTGCGAGAATAGTAGTCGACCCAAGGGGATAGCTCTGAGAGCAGTTCCTCAAGTATGAGCGAGGGGAACAGTGAAGAAGGAAGTGATGCACTGAAGACAGAACGGCTGTGTACGCGAGGAGATGCGGAGATGCGAGAATGCGCAGAGATGCAAGGTATGTGGAGATGCGAGGTATGCAGATGCGGAGATGCGAGGTATGCAGATGCGGAGATGCGAGGTATGCAGATGCGGAGATGCGAGTGAATATCTAGAGGGTACCAGGTATGCGAACGGGTAGGGTACCAGGTATGCGAAACGGGTAGGGTACCAGGTGTCGGAACAGGTAATCGGGTAGAGCGAACTAGGTACCAGGTATATGCGAAGACGTGGAGAAACCACCTTGCAAAGGAACTCAACGAGGACTAGCAATAGTCAACTGTCAATGGCGATGCGAGCGTTCACGCGGGATGAGAAGGCAAACAGGTGATTGCTCAAACAAGGAATGACAAGGTAAGACTAAGCTAGTGACTCCGCAACACACAACCAGAGAGAGGGAATGTAGGAAAGTACTGGATACAAGTCCGCAACGTAGTATATATCATAGTCCGTAAGAAACCGGAACTGTATAAGCGAGCGCATATGTACGCGAAGTCAGAGGGGATAACATGTAAGTAGCGCTATGCGACCTCATGCATGGGAACGGTATGCGCATAGTTCTGCGAATGATCAGGATCCAGTAATAAGAGATAAGAACGCACCAGTGGGAACTGACAGATACGGACAGGATATGGACGGATGGTACGTTGCGATGCGATGCGATGCGTGGATTCCGCAACCTCGTGTGATGGTCCGCAACGGCCTGTGGAAGGTAGGCATGACTTCGTCCAGTAAGGGGAAATGGTGCCGTACGGGGCTGCAGCCTGGGCGTCTCCTACATCAATACCCCTTTTTCTCTTAGACTGTTTGTCTTCGAGTCGATACCGATCCCTCGTCTAGACTTAACCGTCGAACACGAAACCCTTCTTCAGCTCTCGCCTTAGAAGCTTACCTCCCCTTCTGTTCTGTCACAACCTGACGGCTTAGGCTACCAGGTATATTGACATTCAACCGATACACGACACGATAGCTTAGGACCATCGTCCTTCGCTTACCCATCCCAGTCCAACTACGACCGTTGTCGTAACAGGCGAGGCTCGTCACTAGCTTCTTCAAGACCATCCTTCCATGTATGCATGTGTATGAATAGTTCTGCAATCAATGGTAGGAATTGTTTTGACGGTATGTAACAAAGTCATCACATTTGTGATCGTCAACATATTGACCTGACGGAGACTTCGTCCAGTGAAAATCCATCATGTTCATCCACTGTTGAGCAGTTGCGAGGGAAATTGTCTTCTTCAGGCCGTGTTTCTGCTGTACATTGGGTTGTGCAAGGTAATCAACTATGTCCTGTGCTCTGACATATTTTCTGATGCTTTGCAGGTGCCTGTGAATAGCTTCAGCAAGGTCCCCTTTATCAAGCAGGGACACATTCCAACTTCCATAAAGGTTCATTGGGAGATTGCCACAGTGTTCGACAAACAAACATGCCCATTTATGAAGGAGTTGGGCTGTATGGGCAGCTTTTTGGTGAGCCTGAGCTGTATCACAAGAGGCTTTGGTCCATGTTCGAGGGTTCCATTGATCAACATACATCCATAGGAACATTCACATCATTTCGAGACACTTTCGAAGGATATTGTCCCCAGAAAATGCTAAGTGGCCAGTTCCATTTTTGCAGATGGGATTCAAGATTTCAATGAGATCTAAGAGGGCTGATTGACATGCAGGAATGGTGGGTGAAACACATCTATGGCCTTCTCATAGCTCATTATCTTGCATGGAGCCTTGTATCTCTTCTCCCACATCATCTGAGGCATCAAAACCCTCATCCTCTGAGTTTTCAGTCTCCATACATAGTAGCTCTGAATCAGACATATCCTCTTCTTGAGCCGACAGAAAATATTGCTCAACCACTGGCATGTCTAAGTGGAGAGACTGCTACTCAGATTGGTTGGCCGACACTTCCCACACATCACAAAAAGCCCCAATGGACATGGCTGGCATGTCTGACACGTTCAACACATGAAACAGCATGTTTGACGTGTCAGACATGTTTGGTGTGACAATTGGCACTGGATCAATAATCTGCAAAATGTCGCATCAGACAGTTAATTTTGGCTGTAATTAATGTGACTACTCACATTCTCTTTGTTCTCATTATTGATTTTCTTCTTGATGAGTGCCTTTGCAAGATTGGCATTCCTTGCTGAGTCTGCACGAGTCCATTTGCCCATTGCTGGTGAGGCAAGAGTAGGTGTCTGACTTAGTCAGCAAGACTGAGCACAAATCGTGTTATTGCATTGCTTTACAGGCAATAATGGTAAATCTGTTTCCTGTGAATGGCAGGGGTGTTGCATTCAACATTGATAGTTATCATTTTTCTCTTTCCTTTTCTTTGTCATCATGAACTCCTTACATAATCCACCTAATATGTTCATCGTCATTGTTTGTTTATACCTCAGCAGTTCTCTTATAGACGCTGAGGTATGTTTTTGTTCATCTTTCATGCCAGCTCAGTCTCACTATAATGTGTCTCTATATTCTCTCCTTAGGTATTAATAATAACAAGCAGTTCTCTTATAGACACTGAGATTCTCTCCTTAGTTCGATTCTAATAAGGGGGGTTATATACTAGGCTGTAGCACCCGAAAGCTGTTTACTATTCAACGAATCAACTTGCACTGGTGATGGGTGCTCGTAGTATGAATTTAGGGCAAGTGGGACCCTCCAGCTCAATGCTCGGAGGGTCCGCAATCAATTTAACACAGAGATGTGACAGCTCGAGCAAAAAAAAGTGAAACTAAACATATTGTACACAATACCAGCCATATCTCGAAGATGAAGTAATATACATGCCACCAAAGTGACTTTTGACTAAAATCAAGTCGAGTTTGACTTGACCAAGTGCCATAGGGCTATTTTTATTTTATTTTTTTAATCATTTTGTAGGGCAAATCAACGAGATGACTGAGACATACCAACAGCAGAACGAGAAACCCGAACACAAGAAGAACGAGGACACAAGAAGCACAAGAATCTGAACACGAGCTGAACTGTCAATCCATGAGTCATGGCACTTGCCAACTATGAATGAGGAGATGAAGCAGAAAAGGGTGCTTCCGAATGTACTTCTGGAACTCATCTGAAGACCAATGTCCCACTGCCTGAATCAGCACAGGGGCAACACCAGCCGCAGCCAGAGCTGTAGCTCTTCCAGCATGCATTGAATGACCCGAAATAGTCGATGGGAAAAAATGCTGTAGGTAATGTATAAACCAGGCACACATGGGGATAGTACCAGAGGTTGTGAGCCAAAGGTGCGGGTGGTATGGAAATTGATTGTCACAAGCAAAGACATACCATCGCAACAATCTCAAAGGATCAACACGTGCTTGCGGTTCTCCCAACAACAAAATCTCGCAACCCACACCCAGAGTATTGCTTTTGTGGTGAGGAAGTGTATAAGTTGCTGATGTGTCGGTAAACATGAGTGAATGTTGAAGTGGTACCCTGCGGAAGGATTGGTGTTTCTTTGTGTTAGGCCAACACAATTCTGCTGAACATTGTAGAGTCTTGAATCCTGTCACGAGAATAGAGAGAAATAATGTATCATCAAAAACATCGGAGGCCGTGAAAGAGTCCATGACAATAGCAAGATCGTCCAGAGTGAGTGGTTGTTTGTGCTAGATAGGTTTCGATAGACGCTGTTTGCATCCTTTCAGTGTACGTGTGATGAGTAGAGATGTGTGAACATCTCGTACATGCGGAAAATAAGTTTTGAGGAGATTTACAATGCCCGATAGATAGGAATCCACGGAGCATGGTTCGATATGATGTGAAAGCCAAATGACGAAGAAGGAGAGTGTATCCGCAGTTGGTTTGACTGGACAATTATGAAGACGACAGAAGTTAAGGTAGGAATTAAGATGTGAATCATATGCTGAAGCCATTGTGGATTCAATTGCAAGCCCAAGAGCCAAAGAATGCTCTAAATGTAAGTGTTCGAGTGTCCAAGCCTCCTGTATGGGTTGCCTGGACTGTGTGGCACCCAGAATCATTTTTTCAATGCCCCCAACGCATCCTGAGGGGGTTCGAAGTCAAAGATTTGAGCAGTAGGTACAAGATCTTTGATGAGCTCATTGTGAAAACGGAAGAGTGCGTCTGCAATAATGTTCTGTTGTTCTGGAATGTGTTCAACTTGAAGGTCAACTCCATGGGCAATTAAAACATCCATCGCCGAGATCAATAATGAGTTGTAGACAGGTTTAGCACGCAGCAAGTCAAACATAGCGACAGTGTTGGAATTGTCGGTGTAGACTAGTAGTTTTTGTGGTGGTTCGTCCATGTTTGCCACGGAATGGATGGCGGAACAAACAGTGAGGCCTTCAAAGAAGAAAATGGTGTCGCAAGGGGAATCAGCCGGCAGATGACATTGACAAGCGAAGTTGTCATCTGGAAACCAAAGCCCAAGACCAACTGCTGAAGCATCAGTGTATATGACAATGACATCATCACTCAACGGATCGAAATCCAAACATTTGAATAGGTGTAGACCGTCTGAATGTTCAATATGGTCAGCAAGCCAATGCAGCTCGTGTAGGAGGGTGTTGTTAACATGTATCATAGCAAAGGCATTAGACTTTCCCCGAATTTTGTTGTAGAGCACTGACAAACCAGGTTTCAATAGAGGGAAAATGTTGAAACTCCATTCACACCAACCTGCAACGCACTGAAAATCATGTAGGGACCAACGATGGCTCTTTCGTGTGAAATGACGCAACTCCATGACCAAAGCATCCTTTTTATGAGCTGGTAGTGTCACCTGCATTGTGTTTGGGTCAACATGAAACCCAATGACCGTCAAAGTGGCACCAAACAACTGCTTCGGTCGTTCGTGTGGGAGATTGAGTTCATCCCAAAGTTGCAAGAGGCGAGTCTGCTTTGCAGGGAAGTAGCAATCATAGGGTCCATAATATAGCATACATCCAGCAACCTTGAAAGAAAAAGAGTCGTCCATGTAGGTTTTAAGAGCATCAATGAGGGTGCAATGAATGGCAATCCATGCTACAAGGGACATAAAGGAGATCCAAACTTTTGGAGATCCTCTCCCGCCAAAGTTATTGTTACGATCTATGTGGTGTTGTCCATGAACAGTCAAAATTTGCTTGACTTGCCACAGTGGATGCATTGGTAACTGGCAGAAAGCCTGCAAAACATCGGACTTGAACATAACAAGCTCGACGTTAAGGTGCTCCTCTTGGAAACGAAGCAATGATGCTCCCAATGAATGTAAACCATCAAGTTTAGTACCTTTGATGGTGTCCCAATCAATCATCGAGTTCAGGGAATATTCCCCTGTGGTGTGATCTACAACCAAACGAAGTTTGTCGGAGTCCGGCTTGGGTACGGTGTGCATTGGGACACTGTACATCCCTGGGTACAGCTCCGAGCCAAAACTTTCTGACACGCGGCCCAAACATATCTCCTCATACATCTGATCTTTGATGAATTGCAGTTGGTCATCACTCTTGGGGCATGTATGCAAAGAGTTGTCATTGACAGATGGATATGAATCGTCAGAGGTATCGGCCCACGGCCAGAAACCTTGACGCAAGGCTAGTGTTACAGTAACATGGCCCCCTGATCGCTTCTTGGCTTAGTACCAAGCGGCACCCCTACTAGGACCCCGGAAATAACGGTTCCCAGTACTGCGCCCAACAGCGCACAAAGGCGTCTACGACGTCAACTCAGTCTTCTCAGATACCTACACCCACTGAAGTAGTAATCAAAAACTCCTTCTTTAATATCTCCGGCAATGGCAACAGGAAAAGGACGTGGAACGGGAAACTTAACGTCCCGAGCTCCTACGCCTACTCCTACCAGTTCCGTAGTCAAAACTCGTTCCTCAGCTCGTAATACGGTCTCCCTATTACTCACAAAGGAAGAAATAATGCAGCAAGAATTCGATGTTATGGATATAAAAAGCGGGAAAGCTTTTCTGGCAAAATCTTCATTCCGTCCTGCGGGCGAGCCATTCACTCCCGCAAGTCTCTTACTAACGATATTACATATAACGCAGTACCCGGGTATCCCTCGCATCGTCATTGAAGGTCTACGAGCAGCATTCCTACTCCTCGAAGACGATGCTCTCAATACACCAACGAACGCCCCCGATTTCTCACAACAACTCTCAGAAACCCTCACCAACAGTCTCACAGCTCACGTCATCGCGGCAATTTCGCCTCAAGTCGCGGCCGTCTTATCAGCCTCAGAACTAATCAAGACAAAAGCAGAGGAATTGGCACAGATGAAATTAAATCTGATGGGTTCTCAAGACACACCAAATGCGGCAGAAGAAGCAGCACAACGTGCAGAACGCGCGGCAGACGCAGTGCTCCACAGTATCTCTGATGTTAAAACCGCCATGGATTTACTAACTCCCTCCCTCAGTGCTACCCAGTCCAGCATCGACAAAATGTCTACTCAGCCGACTCCCAATCAAACGGGCCCCACTCAAATCGAAACAGTTAAATCATACAGTGCTGCAGTACAACAACATACTGCACCTTCGGCCCCAATTTCGGCAGCTTTGACACGCGCAGCAACACGAGAACGCCAAATACTGTTTGATCCCGCCCCCGGGAAAACCCTCTTCGACACCAATGCCAGCCCAGCGGACATAGCAACAAAAATGAAAGCATCTTTCTCAGCAGTGCAAACAGAGGACGCCCCTTCCATCCAAGTCAAGGCCACCATAAGATTACGTAATGGTGGTCTCATTATAGAACTAACCTCTACAGACGCAGCCAACTGGATACGTCTACCAGAGAACAGACTCAAAATCATTGAAGTCCTCGGAATTCCAGCGTCGATCAAAGAACGTAGATTCTCTATTATAGTACCCTTCATGCAAATGTCCTCCGAAATCGAAAACACTGACTGGCTACGCCTAGTGGAGGAAGAAAACGACCTCAATAAAGGCGCCATCGAATCAGCTCAATGGATCAAACCACGTCTAAGGAGAGCGCCCAATCAGAGAGTTGCTCATGCCATTCTTCACTTCACAGACTCCAACGCCGCCAATATCGCACTACGAGACGGCCTATATATCAACAAAGAAAAATTACACCCACGCAAGGACAAGAAAGAACCAGTACGCTGTGTCAAGTGTCAACTATGGGGTCACATCGCTAGGGATTGCCATGCGCCCCGAGACACGTGTGGAACATGTGGTAACACTCATCGCACAAGCGACTGTCACGCATATAAGACTTTCTACTGTGTCAGTTGCGATTCACAGGAACATGCCAGTTGGAACAGAAGTTGCCCGGAATTCGAGAACCGTTGCGCTGGGCATCGACGCCAAACATCCAGAAAACTCAATGCCCTTCTTCCCCACACATGACGACTGGACTCAAGTCTCTCTACCCCCGAAACCAGCACCTTATTGCAAACCAGCCCAACAACCATCAATCAATCCAACTAGACCAACATTACGACAAACTAACCTTA